GCCCCAGGCGGCCGGGGAAGAACCGGCACCCCCCCGAGGAAACCCGGACAGGAAACAGACCTGGGCAAAACCAAAGAATACAGGGGGGGGGGGGGGGGGGGGGGTACCGTGAGATACGGCGGTGGTACCTACCTCATTCGGCCGGGCGTGATCTCAACATGTAAACCGTTGTATGCACGCGTGGATGAACGGCAGCAGTTCTGTGTGGCGTTGTGGGTTAAAGATGTCAACCAAGTTAAGTGAGGCTTCGTCCAGTGCGTGGAGTACCACCGTAAAAGCGCTAGTCACGGCACACACGGAATACTTGTACTTGTGTTCGATTGTTCATAGGCAGAAAGGCTCCATGCCAAAAAACGTCACGTTGGAAAGACGCAGTCGAGATATTTACTTGACAGTCGGTGTTCCGTACTTCGGTCTATGTAGAGGGAGTGGCGTGTATTAAATTGTCAAATTTACGCTATCCTAGACAGCAAGTAAATTTAGCACCTGGCCACAGAGGGAGGATTGGCTGGGAAGATTGATTGCCACAACTCTCCCTTATCTTTCGGAGATGCTATCAAATTTCTTTTGTGAAAAGATTACATGTATCACACATGCAGCTAGCTCGAGGCAATGCTTGATTAGCTTTTAACCTTGTACCAACAAAACAAAACACCCTCCACGGAGATCATTGAGATCAGTCCGCACACACCGTTCTATCGAATCACGAACCAGCTTTCCGGCTACCGGCTACTGTACCAGAAAAACAACATGCCAGAGGTTTTCCTGATTTATGGGGGCGCCCCTAGCCATCCCTACGCTACAACAACACGACGAGTGAGCGTGAATCGCAACATACAGTAGCCAATCAAAACAAAATCAATCAATCAGAGTATAGGCTTAAACAGACTCAAAATAAGACAGGTATCCAGCCGTTTTGAGACTCCCACTCATTGTAAAGACCTCAACACATCCTCTTCGACATCTCACACGGCACACGGGTAGTCTCTCTTTGATTGTAGCTATTTTTCCAGAAAACGCGACACCCCTGCCCGCAGCCTACCTGCACGTCTTCCGCTATGGCTTGCAGCGTCCGCTGGACCCTCGCGTGCCCCATGTCCCCGAGGTAAATATGCCTGCTGCCGCCGTCGCCCCCGGCGAGCCCCAATTCCGGCTCCCCCCACAACTCCCCCCTCCGCTTCCCCCTGGGCCTCATCCCGTCCACCGTCCAGCCTTCCCATTCCCCTTCCTTGTGGCCAGCTTCGGCGCCGCTACCCTTACGGGCAAACCCGGCCACCGTCGGCGGGCCGCCCTCCCCGAGCGACTGCGAGCGCAGCACGGCCGGGCCGGTGCGGCGGTGTGGCGACACCGACCGCGCCATCTCTCGCCCCTGTCCCTGACCTTCGCGGGCCCTCGGCGGCTTGCTCGACCCGTGCCACGACTCCGACCGAAAAGCCTCTTCGGTGTCGAGACCGCCGTGGGACACCCGCGGTTCTGACCGCGGGTTTTCCATGGTCGAGGGACGCGGTACCCGTGTCTTGGGCGGTAACGGCGGCGGCGGCGGCGGCGGCGGCGAAGTCGTCGCCCGCAGCAGCCGAGGCGAGTCCTCCGCGTAGGCGAAGCGCAGGAGGAGGACTTGGCTCCCGGTGGTGCGGAGGAGGCCCCTGAGGACCCGGACCACGTTCTCGTGGTTGAGAAGGTTGAGCTGCTCGTGGTTCACGCGCACGAGGGCGTCTCCCACCTGGTGGTTCGGCATGCCGGGCGTTCCGCCAAGAAACAAGAAGGGGGCAATAGTCGTAATCGGCACCGTGGCAGGCGACAGGGAGGGGCAAAACGTGGCAGGCGGGTGTACCTACGTCATTACCGGATGGTCTAAGCTGGCGCACGGGGTAAAGCTGAACATTTCACATGCTATCTTACATTACGCCGAGAAATAAGTCGTTTCCGGCATCGTGTCAGGCGGCAGGGAGTGGCAGTCTCATGGAGGGTTCACCGATGTGAGTGCCGGATGGTATGTCTAAGCTGGCGCACGACGACAAGCTAAACACATCACATCCTATCTTAAGTCCATATAAGCTACTTGTACCGGTGAAACAAGGTTTACCTCGACTGCTGAGGTTACGTTATGGCGGCGTAGGATGCACGCGGACCGCCGACGCTATTGTACCGATACTGCTTCCCTTGCAAAGGGTCGAGAATGTAGCCTTGCCTGCATGTCGCCGCATGCCTAGAGACACTCTTGTATACTGCAACACCAACATTTCCTGCCGTTGTAAAAATCATGAAGGAGAAAAGGAACGTGTTTGCCTTGCCTGGATGTCGCCGCATGCCTGGGCAGGCCCGATGTCGCCGCCCTGTACGGTCGAGAAGCCCTTGACACGAACGTCGTTTCCCGTGATGTTGAGAGACAGACCGAGACCCCTCGATACGTTCAGTCGGACCTACACCACAATGGAGACGAGTAGTGAAGCAGTTGTAAGAGCAAGACCACACCTATACGTAGCCGTGTGTATGTACACCGAGAGAGCAGCCAGGCCAAGACATAGGAGGCAGAAATACCGGTGTATTTTCGAGGCCAGCTCATACCCCGGTTAAGTACATGGCGAACGTCTGCGACGGTGGTAATACTCGCGAGACAGAAACGTATTAGGGTCATGAAGCGACAGTGAGCCACGACGACGACGACAACCAACAACAACGACCAAAACGACAGAGGTAGAGACAGGTAGGTCATTAGGCTACCGTAGTGAGCCCGACAGCGACAACACCACGACAACCACTATTGTACCACCAAAACAACACCAACGACACCAAAGAACAATAACACCAACAGAAGCATCAAAAACAGAGGGAGAGACAGGTCATGAGGCTAGAGTAGGCCATGGCGCCAACAACAACAATAATAACATCAACCGTAGGAGAAGTACTGTATCAGTGTTTCACAGGGGGGGGGACGCACCTCGTACTGGCTGGGGGGCACGAAGGGGTTAGGGTCATCCATGGCCGAGACAGGCAGCTCCGTAACCGTCACCAAGTGCGTCGGTATTCGAGACTCTCGTCGAGACCTGGTTCGGTTGAATTGCCAAGAGCAGGAACAAGGCCCACAGACGGACGTCACACGGTGCGGTTACATGTGTCACGGGAAGACCCGAATGTATCATGGGGTAAACATCGCATAAGTCATGGGAAAAGCCGGCATTCTTTAGGGTCGCATGGTGCGACAACCGGTGATCCGGCAAGTCGTAGTTCCCCGCCGTTGCATACGCACCGCGGCACCAAACTTGGGGTAGGGGTCGAAAAGTCAGCAGTAGAGTATAGCAGAGTGAACGGGACGCAAGCGTATAGCAAGACCCAAGGCACGCGGAACAGGCCAGCAGGAAGCTCTACGAATACATTTTACTTGTACACGCAGGCTAGACAAAGCAAGAGAGAACAAATAGCTCAAGCCTACGCATAGCTCAACAAACCCATGTCACCCGACCATTTATCCGTCCAAGGATTGGACCAAGAGGCATGGATGACGAAGGCGGGAAACAAAAAACGAGAGCAAGCGGTGGAGCGACGTTGTGCTACGGCGGACACCACGCAACCTCCCAACTATTGTCATGGGCATCTTGGCGACGACTGCACAGCTACAAACCCATGTATGCGACATGACTCCAAGCGCGTAACGACTAAATTGAAAACGAATGTGGGGGCTGCGATCCATGCTGCTCTGCGTTCATCTTTCGCCGTACCTCAGCGTGCCCATGCACTGCCGCTTCACGCCCATCATTCCCGACACCAAGAGCATCTTCCTCCGCCTCTTCCAACCCGCCTCGCCCTTCCGGGGCCCCCGCTCGCGACCCCCCCCCCCCCCC